CAGGTTGCTCCAAGCCCCATCCAACCTGCCCTTCAACACTTCCAGGGATGGGGCAGCCACAGCTTCCCTGGGCAACCTGGGCCAGGGTCTCACCACCCTCACACTCAAGAATTTCCTCCTCATGTCTCACCTCAATCTCCCCTCTTCCAGTTTTCATCCATTCCCCCTTGTCCTCTCACTACAAGCCCTTGTCAAAATTCCCTCCTCAGCTTTCCTGGAGCCCCTTCAGGCACTGGAAGGTGCTCTAAGGTCTCGCTGGAGCCTTCTCATGTCCTTCTTGTGTTTTGGGCTCCAGAGCTGGACACAGCACTCCAGGTGGGGTCTCACCAGAGCAGAGCAGAGGGGACAATCCCCTCCCTGGACCTGCTGCCCACGCTGCTCTTGCTGCAGCCCAGGACAGGGTTGGTTTCTGGGCTCCAGTTCACGGTGCCGGCTCGTGTTGAGCTTCTTATCACCCCCAAGTCCTTCTCCTCAGGGCTGTTTTCAATCCATTCTCCCCGCAGTTTGTTTTTGTCCTCAGGATTTCCCTCACCCAGGTGCAGGACCTTGCCCCGTTGAACATCATGAGCTTGGCATGGTCCCACCTCTCCAGCCTGTCAGGTCCCTCTGCATGGCCTCCCTTCCTCCAGCGTGTCGACGTCACCACACACTTTGGTGTCACCAGCCAACTTACTGAGGGTGCCCTCAGCTCCACTGTCCATGTTACTGACATGGTCCTGCCTGTCCCCCACCCCCCAGCACCCACCCCCCACTTGGCTCTCTCAAGACAGTCCCCATCTGAGCAGCCTTTGCCAACGAGCACTTGAGATGGACCAGAGAGCTGAACACAGAAAGCAGTGAAAACTTTATTGGAATTAAAAAAGGATCTTCATGGATAAAAAGTTATTTTATTTTATATTTTCTCCAGAGTTCCTAGTGACACTTTCCCATTATGGAAGGGAAAAAAAAAAAAAAGTAATACCAACCAGGCAAGCTTATACATCAGTAGTGAAACATGCCCTTCAGTGTGGCTGAGACCTCTCCTTGCAAACTTGACTACAGTCCTTGCAAACTTGACTAGAGTCCCAGCATTTCATCTTCACAACAAATGGTGTTGGTTGAAGAGCACTGTGATCACGAAGAAAACATCCAAAGGACAAGATGGCCACAGATATAAAATAAATTAAAAGCTTCTGTAAAAGTTTCTTTCCATATACAAAATAACTTTTCGGTTCAGGGGGTAATTTTTAATTTATTTATTTTTTTTAATTGACATAGTCTGTACAAAGATTAACATTTCAACAGGAATAATTTAAAAAGGCTGGTTTTTTACAAGGAGAAATGGGTGGCTGAACAAAAAAAACCCAAACCATCAGCCCCCCTGCAGGCTGCTGAGTGTCCCCTCAGAGAGGAGCCTGCAGAGCTTCTGGGCCAGCCCTGCAGTGGGGCAGGGCTGCTTGGCACCTTCCAGAAGGAGCTCTGCTCCTTGCGAGCTCAAGGGCAAAACACAGCCTGCCTAGTCACCCCCCCCTGCATTGATTCCAGCAGGCAGTTCTCCTGGCCCAAGGGACCACACTGCAGGAGCAGCAGGTTTGATCTGGCACTCTCTACTTTGCACAAGTTCCTGTGGGGATTCCCTGCTCAGCCTCCCCACAGTGGGATTTCCAAGAGCTTCCTGCAGTGGCCTCCTCACAGGCTGCTCCCCTCTGGGGACTTTGCTCCCAGAAGAGCCTCTCTGAAGAGAGAGCTTGTGTAGCTCAAGACATTCCCCTGCCCATCTTCTGAGCCAGCCATAAAAACAAGCTGCAGGCATCAGATACTACATCATTAGATGGGAAGCAGAACCATTTATCTAGGATTTAAAAACGCAACAACAAACAAAACCAGAACAGGGGTGAAAAGCCCCCCCCCCCACGCTGATTGGAGATTAAAATGGTGATTAATAACATGAGCTGGAAATTATTTTGAGGTCCCTACTAGGACAAAGTTATATACAGAAATCATTGCCCGTGTTGACTAGTAACACGTGGCTGATGCCAGACCTGGCTTCGTGCAGGGAGTTCCTGTTGCAGAGAGAAGTGCAAAACAAGCCATGGGTGTAAAAGGTCTCATTTCTAGGTGGTTAACTGGAGAGAACACCCAGCGTAGGGTTGGAAGAGGCAGATCACCTTCTCCTTGGAAGATTGTACCTGTTCTGCACCACATGGTTCACAACAAAGAGGGGCTGTATCCTAGCACAGCCGAGGTGGGAAGGAATCCAGCCCTCCAGAGCTACTGAGCAGCTCCCACCTTCCCACTCAAGACAAGAGGTGCACACCCCAAGAGCCTCAGAAATGCTGCCAAGGCAATGATTTTGGTGACATGATCATTACTTGCCAGCTCACCTTGGACAATGAGATGAGATGTATTGGCCCAAAGCTTGCCTTGTCAAGTTCTAGGCAACTTGTTTTCCCACAAGCTCTCTACAAATTGAAAAGTAGTTAGGTTTGTTGTTTGAGCTTCTGTGGTTTTGAACAGTAGCCACTGTCACACTAAATGCCCACACAGGGGGGTTGGAACAAGGTGATCTTTAAGGCCCCTTCCAACCCAAACCATTCGAGGATTCTATGAAATTTAAAAATCATGGACTTTCAGCTCTTACAAAAGACTCAGAAACCACTGCACCTGCTTGTGCTTGCAGGGCCTGGTGTCCCCTGGAGATCCCAGCCTGCCTCCAGCTCAGCCAGTGGCATCTCCCCACAGGTCCCAGTGACACCTGGCCCATGAGCAGAGCAGAGCATCACAAGGTGAGCCCTAGGGCACAGGCAGCCTGTGTGCACTACTGCTTCTGCCTGACCTTCATGTCAAGGCAGGAGGCCACTCACCTCCACAGCAGGGACAGGCTCTTCCCACCAGCTCACAGCCATGACATGCTCTTGGTTGGCTGCAACTGGTTGTCTTTTCAGCCAGGAGAAAAAGCACAGGTTTTTCTCCTCCTGTTTTGAAGCCCATCTGATTTGCACGTGGAATGTTGGGTTTTCCTCCTGCCTGGGGAAGTGGATCAAAGGAACTTAGATCTCAATGTCCACAGCTTCCCACCTGGAGTTGGTTCTGATGGCAGTTCTGCCCCTGCAAGGTGAATATGGCACTTGTTCTCTAGAGCTGGAGACTTTTCTTTCCAGGGAACAGGCCCTTGGAGGCAGAATGCTGCTACAGAGCTCTTGGGATCCTCACATACAGCAATTAGGCTGGAGAGCTGTGCTAATTAGTGTTAATTGGAGCCAATAAAGATGGCTCTGGCCATCTGACCACAGGGGTATGCTGTTCAAGCAGGGCAAGGGAAGGGCTACAAGCATCAACTTGCATCTGGGACTACTCAGTGGTGCTTTTTTTTTAAATTTTGGTGGGTTTTTTTGAGTGAAAACTCCTGTCACCTTCCACTGAGACTGTGCAGGTAAAAAGTGATTGCTGAAGGGATCCCCTGGTCACCCACTCCAGCTCCACACCTCTCATGCACAGGCTGGTGAGCACTATGGCACCAGTGACACCAAACACCAAAATCAGGGACTGAGCTACTTATGCTGGCCCCAAACATCCATGGAGCTGCAAAAAGGCACGTTCATAGAAGAGCTGTCATCACCCTCAGTACCCTGAGGAACTGCTGACTCCCAAGTAGGGAACTTAACTCTCATTGGTGATGGGGAATTCATTCCCTGGGAATATTTCAGAGAGTCAGTTAGGAAGGTAACTGAGGAAAAAGGTTGTTTGATGTTTACTTTAGGTCAAACTGAAACATCACCCTCACCAGACCCAAGTGCTTTCAAAAGCATCATCCTCAATAGATGGTGCTGCTGGAAGTGAAACCAGGTTTCTGTCTAAAGTACTTCTGTGAACATGTACTAACTTTTGGAGCTGTGTGTGAGGTTTGTTAGCTGTTTTCTTTCCTGCTTGTAGCTTCTCATATGAATTTTTTGGTGAATAAAGTGTTTTTACTGTGCAAAACTCGCTAGTAAGAAGTCTTAAATTGACAGCATAGGTACAACAAATTTCATTTCCAGAGTAGAAGTGAAGTGAGATTAAAAAACAATAATCTACTATCTGATTAACGTAGCAATCAAAACTCACCAACCCAGAGGTAGTTTTGATCAAATAATTGTAGTGAAGGACTGCAGGTAAAAATTATGCACCAAATAATTTCATACCAGGAATCAACTACCATGATTTACTCACAGATTATTTGTAACTACATTCTAGAATATGTGCTGTGAACAAGCTGCTCAGCTGCTTCAGAGAGTGGGACACTTTCCTACCCTTGGCCTGCTGAGTTGCCACAGTGGCATGAAAGAAAAGTCTCTGCTTTTGAGATACCACCATTCCACTTGTAACGTGCTTCGTGTTCTTCTGACTGAGGACACTGACCTCTAATAAGCTGAATTCCCAAGAGCATGTCCATGAAAAGCAATGCACACATGCAGTTGGTGACATGTCATCCCAAGGAGATCTACGTTTCAGTTGGGTTACCTCAGGCTCTTAGGATGTTGGATTTGTTTGCCTCCCTTGCTGCACTCCACGATGACCTAAGGCAGAAAGCTTAGCTTTAAAATGAAGAACAGTATCTTTCTCATCTCCCTCCCCACTAGTCAAAATGGAGGGAGACAAAAATTGCTGCTTCCCAAGTCTTGTACAAAAATAGATCTGCATGTCCTTCTTGAAGAGTCTTTTTCCAATTCCTCTTGATCTCTTGGATCTCAACAGAGTCAGTCCCCATTGCCAAGACTTGTGTCGTGGTCAAATTCAGAGACGAATGAAGTTCATGTTCTCTTTCCTTGGAATTGCTATTTGGGATCCATTCCATTTCCATCCTCGTTGTTTGGATTTGTTTATATATATAGATAGATTTATAATTTTTTTCTCTTTTTAGTCCAAAAGAAATGCATTGGCAGTGCAAACAAAAAGTAGGTATCATGAAACACCCCCTCCCATCCCCTCCCCCGATACCAAGTGATCACCTCAGCATTCCAAAAAAAGGGTCTCCCGAGATGTTATCTGCAGGCACAGGATTCCACTGTCATGTTGGGGTACACCTTAAGAACCACGTTCTTATTCTCATCAAAGAATAAGATGCTAAGAGAGGACATTTTGTCAGGAACACAGCAAGGCTCAGGAAGGCACGGGACGACCCCGACAGCTCTCACTATGCTCTGGATGGTGGCATGGTTGGATGGCTTCAAGGCCTGCAAGAAAAAGACACAGCACAATATGGAACTGCACCCACCTTGGAATGGGCCCCACCTCCTCTACAACACAACTGGGCTTTTTTTTTTTTTTTTCCAAGAAGGGCCCTGTGGAGGAGCAACAGTTGACTGTGAAATCTGTCTTCTAGGCAACCATTTCCAGTTGTCACCAGCAGGGCCACTGAGCCAGCAGCAGGGAATGTGTCTGGTTCTTCTGGCCACTGGATGTGAGTGATGCTCCATCTGAGGGAGGAGCCTTAGGCTCTCTGGGATGTGCCTTCCCAGGAGAAGGCCCAGGCAGCAGACCTGGCAGCAAGGTGTACCTATAAGGCAAGGTAGTCTCTCCCTAGTTATAAGTTACAATTTAGTCATAAAACTGGTCTGAGTGAGAGGGAGGCAAAGTCCTAGCAGGCTGAGTCATTAGGGGAGCAAAAGAAACACCACTTGGAAGTTTGGCTGGTGGGACATGAGCGAGTCAGGAAAAACAAAAGTGGATCAAATGTGTCCAGAGGAGAGAAGGAAGTACTTGATGCCACGATGCTAATGGTTCCAGTTTGCTCTTGTGGTGGTTTTGCTCATTCTTCCATGTCAAATCACTTCTGAAGTGACACTGCCAAGTGACAGAACACCCAATTCCTACATGTTAAGGGGACATTTTCTCCACAGGACAAAGTTTCCTAGATTTAGAGTCATGTAAACAGGAACACACTTTGGTGTGATGACCAAAAGGCTGAGCAGTGAGATGAACTGTCTTTGTACAACCAGAGTTCGTTAATACACTCATAAAAATGAATCAATTCCTAGGAATGAAAAATACTAAGTATCACCTCTAGAGCTCCAAACCCTCCCAAATCCAAGTGTCTGTATGAAAAGCAGCCAATCACAAAAAAATGCACAAGAAGCAGTTTTTAGCCCAAGACTTGTGCTTTTGGAAGAGTGAAACTTGAAACTTGCTTTAGAGAGCTCCTCTGACGTGTACAACCTGGGAACTGCCCAGTTCAATATGCTCAGTCAGATACCACTGAGAAATACCTGGAACAAGACCATTTGGGCCAAATATTTGACTGGCAGTTTTGCCACAGCAAGAGATGATTCACTTTTGGAAGAATCAGTCTTAGGGGTCAGAGATGGACTTACCTGAGGGGCAAGTTTCAGTGATCTGGCATGCAAAAAAGCCCAGGAACAACTGGGAGATTCTGGTTAGTTGTATCTTTTGTGTAGCAAGTGAGTACATTCAGGAGTAAGGGTTCCAACTCTGCTGGCAACACACAGGGATGTCTAACCTGCCCCTACATCCACCCACATAGTTCACAGCTAATGCACTTCCCCCTGGAGGCAGCTGCTCCTTGAATTCCAACAGAGATGGAACAGAATGGATTTCATCCACATCATTTTGTTGAAACTAGTCTCAAGAGAGAACTGGACCCATTTGACACAGAATTGAAAAGGATTCACTGGGGAGCATTCAGCTACTCTTTATGGACATTAGACAGAATGTGAATGTTTCTTTCTTCTCCCCACGAGGAACCTACTTCACCTGCAGGAAGGCTGGGCAAGAAATGGGGCCAATCCTGCACATCCCTTGCTTTTGTTTATCCTCTGAGAGTCAGAGTTTTCTCAAGCACACCCGGGATCCAAGTCCCTTTTAAATGCAGATGTTACACAGAGCCGGATCTTTTTGGAGGGAAAAAAAATAATCCTGAGCTGACCCCCAACTGCCAAATGTGTGAATGAGTCCAGCTGTGGCTCAGGCTGCACCTGCTAAGCTGCATGTGTCCTTGGGAGACTGGCTGCCCTCTTGAATTCCATTGGAGATGTGTTATGAGCAGGGCAAATGAAGTCGGGTACGAGCTTTCATTCCTCACCTGGGAGAGGGTCTGCCTGGCCCACCTGCTCAAGCCCCACACACCTGGGTTGGACAGCAAGCAAAGCAGCTAATTGAAGTCAGGGAAAAGGGTAAGGCCAGAAAATTTGGGGGTGGAAGTGTGTGTGAGGGGGAAGAGACACATCTGTTCCTAAAACTTTTACATACTCGCCCTTGGCAAGGGAACATGATATACCCATAGGCACAGAGAAGTGTGTTATTGCCTGATGGTTATGGTACCATCTTGCAAACTCAGTGTTATTAGCAGCACCAGGTATTGTGCACAAGTAACAAGAATAACACCTGGCTCCAGAAGATGCTCATTTCACATTTTTATATAATTTAGCTTTTCGTTCTCTTTGGAAAATGAGGTGATTTGGGGTTTTGCAATTTAAAAAGTGCACAAAAGGAACAATCTGAACTCCAACCTGGACAGAAATCTACTCATTGCTTTCGGGGAACCAGACTCAATGGGTTTCAGTGAACTGTCTCTCTCTGCAGTATATGGCAGCAAATATTCAGCTTCCCAGTGTCTATAATTTTTCACCCGACTGAGTCTAGAGAGTTTCACACCTAAAGGCTGGATTAGGCTTCTCAGTAGGAACCTGTAGAAGAAAACAGGTGACCTGGTTATGGCCCTGCAGGCCTGCACTACAAGCTTAGCTCATGGCAATGAGACCTGCTCCCCATCAGCAAAGTCATGTAAATGCAATTTACTTGTCTACCCATCTCTCCTGATGATTTGTCACCTATTTTCTACCACAAACTTTTCCCAGGGCAGGAAGAACTTCTGATAGTGTGTTCATGTGCAGAGGTGAGGGGTGAAGAGGAGGAGAAAGAACACTCCCTTGGGACTACCAGACTTAGTTACCATGATAATTGCAGCCAGTCCTGCAGTCTACAGATTTGAGAGGATGAAGCTGAACTGGGACATCTCAGAGGCCAATGCAGGGAAGCAGAACCCAAAAATTTGGCAGAACATCTTTTTACTATCTTCAAAAAATAACTAAAGCTGCAGCTTAGTGAATAAAGATTGCTACCCAGTCGTAGGCAGAGGGACATAGCAGCATTTTTTTCCTTCATGTGTCCTTCAAGTGAGAATGGGAGAAGTCCAGGTCTGGTGCTTTTAGAATTTCTAATCTGTATGTTGAGTTCCCTGTTTGACTGAGCACGGTTCCTATCAACAATGAAGCAAAAGGCCCAGTGTAAGATATTCAAAGGTAATGACTCCACCTTGTCTTGTTCCCCTTCATTTTTTTCCTTCGACCTGATGCCTGAAAACCTGCCACTGCAGTTGGAGGTAGCCAGGTGAGTCACCCTTTCCAGCAAAGAGAGACTCCTGCCTTTCTCAGCTTGTTTTCTCTGGGTTCCATCCCCTTTGGTACATTTCTTCACCTGTCATTTTCAAAGGCTGACTCCTTTGGGTCTTTAAGCCACTGAAATGCCACATGAATTCCAGAACTAACTGTCCAGGCTTCACTGTGGCAGGAAGGAAAGCTCTAGAAGGAGAGGTTACAGTGAGACCAACAGCCCTACCTTGACTGACATTTCCTGAAGGCATTATTTGTGTGTACCCTTCATTTCAGGCCAGCCTCAAGCACCACATGCTGCTTTCAGGTTTCAGTGGACTCCAGGGAGGGTCCATGCTGCTAATAATGACATTGGGCATTTGATTTTAAGGAGCTGAGTTCACAGAATCACAGAATGAGGGGGTTGGAAGGGAGCTCTGGAGATCATCTAGTCCAACCCCCCTGCTAGAGCAGGATCCCCTAGAGCAGATCACACGGGAACATGCCCAGGTGGGTTGGGAATGTCTCCAGGGATGGAGGCTCCACAACCTCCCTGGGCAGCTTGTGCTCTGGTACCCTCAGAGTAAACAAGTATTTTCTCATATTCAGGTTAAACCTCCTGTGTTCCAGTTTGTGCCCATTGCCTCTTGTCCTGTCCCTGGACACCACTGGGAAGAGTCTGGCCCCACCCTCCTGACACCCCCTGTAGATAGTTATAAGCACTGATGAGCTCCCCCCTCAGCCTCCTTTTCTCCAAGCTGAACAGCCCCAGCTCTCTCAGCCTTTCCTCACAGGGCAGACCTTCCAGTCCCTTCATCATCTTAGTGGCCCTAAGTTCATCCACCTAAGTCACAGGGCTAGGAGCACATCACCCTTTCTTGCTAACTCACATGCAGCGATTTAATAAAAACCAGAGCATTTCAAAAGTTACCTGGCCTGGATCCAGAGCACCCCAACTGCTCCTCCAGCTCCACAGAGCCCCTGTCCTTGGGACAGCCATGCCTCAGGAGGCACGTGCTTCCCCACAGCCAGCTATGCTGACTGGCCCCAGCGTGGGTCTGGCAGCAGAGACTCCTTTGAGACCTAACAACTCACTGCCTAACAAGCCATTTTCTGAACCTGGCTTGTATTATGTTTATTAAACAGGTTAATAACAAGTTCACACATCATAAGCACTATTCAGGAAATGTTTTATGGCCATTTGGGTTCTGGACAAAAAAAAAAAAGTAATACCATGTAATATTTTTTTAATTACCTTTACAAGCCTGTCTTTTTACTAGCTGTTCTAACCACCACTCTTTGCAGCCCAGGACAGGGACACCACTTATTTGCTAGACCCAAACAGGGACCAGGTGACCTTTCACCGGCGTGGGGAAGAACACGCGCGGTCGAGGGGAACAGTGCAAAAGAATCAAGGGAAGACTGTACCTTTGGAATTGGGAACTGGCATTCCCCCGAGCAGTAATAGGCATCGAAGGATTTGGGGGAGATAATCCACTCGCTCCAGCCAATGTCTGCAAAATCCACCTTGAGGTAGCGGCGGGTGCAGGACCTGGGCTCGTTCCACTGCTTCCTCCTCGCCTTCTTCAGCGTCTGCTCATCGAACTGGAGGGTCTGGCTCTTCTGGTGCTGATTCTTCCTCTGCTTTTTCTTGCTCTTGGCCCTCTCTGCTAAGCGGGGCTGAAAGGTTTTGTAGGTCTTTCTGCCTTCCCACCTCTCCTCCTCGTTGTACTGGTACTCGGCTCCCGGGAGCTCGTTGTTCTGCAGCGGCAGGAGGGCGTTCGCGGAGCGTTTCCGCCGCCGCTTCCCCGGGCTGCTCCTCACCTGGTTTTCTGGCCTGGGAAAGACCCTTGCCAGGGGGTGACGGTGTCCTTGCAAGCTAGACACAACGCTCTCTGGCTCTGAAATAGCAGAATCGTTGGCATAAACCAGAACGTAGGGTTCATAGCGAGATGGTGCCCTTCTCCAGGGGGGAGGGCTGACCAGGTCCAGTCTGACACCCACCAGGAGCTCCTTGTTCCGTTTGGCTTCATGCAGGAGCTGAGTGATATCCTTCCACTGCCAGGAAAGGACATCCTGGTAAGCAGTGGAGATGTTGATGAGGAAACGTCCCAGGCTCCGAGTCTGGTTCCCAGCAGAAGGAAAGGTCCAAACTGAAAGATGCAGCTGGAGTTCAGGTTTCCTGTGCCCGTGGCGAGAACAGCCCCTGGATTGAGAACAGTTCCACTTAGCGTGCAGCAGGTCACCAACATAGAAATACACTGAAGCTGACAAGATGTTTTCAGACTCGGTGAGCGACGTCAAGTTAAAAATGTACATCTCCTGGCTTTCAGGGCCCCCTAGAAGAAGAATTACTTAGATAAGAAACTGCTGTAAAGGAAGAACCGAGCGCGTTGCTTTCCAAGCTGTACAATTCTTGAGTGTGAGGGTGGTGAGACCCTGGCCCAGGTTGCCCAGGGAAGGTGTGGAAAACCCATCTCTGGAAGTGCTCAAGGCCAGGTTGGATGGGGCTCTGAGCAACCTGGGCTGGTGGGAGGTGTCCCTGCCCATGCAGGGGGGTTGGAATGAGATGATCTTTAAGGTCCCTTCCAACCCAAACCAGTGTGTGATTCTATGATGGTTTACACATTTAGCCCAACCTGATGCTGCACCACACAGCTAAGTTCCCAACAGCTGAAAACTAATGTACCAAACCAATTTCTAGCTATCCCTTATGCCTGGGGAACTAGATTTTCTTTTGACTTCCATCCTACTTTTAAATCCCCCAGCCTAAACAGGCTGTTTATTCCATTTGTCCTAAGCACATCAGGGGATCTGACCTCTGCTTGCTTTGTAACCACTAATGTAATGAGGTTAATATGCAATTTGGCAGAGGCCTAAGTACATCAGTCGTAGGAACCAGACTTTACAATGTCTCCTAAGTGCCTGTTAAAGAAGTTATTCTGTGAATCACTGCTGTACGTTGAATGACAAGTTTGGATTTTAATTTTTAATAAGAACCCCACGACACTGCTTGCCCTAAATTGGCGTTTTGCAGCGCAACACAAACCAAGCTGCCTTTGTTTATGGAGAAACCCTAGATGGCGTGAGGCAGACGCAGGAGGAATAGAGAGTTTTGATGAGAAGGGAGCCTGGAGAAGCTGCTCTCAGCGTTTGAACCCCATTGCCAAAGCGCTGCTGGCAGCAGGTGGTGCTGTGTCCTCACCCAACCGCCTCCACACTCCCTGCTCCAAAGGGGTTGGTGCATCACTCAGTCTCCACAAACATCTTGAAACCAGCTCCCAGCACAGATGTCTCCAGATTTGCTGGCTTCCGGCTCAGCCAAACCCAAGTGTGTGCCCTGGGCTTCTGTCACAACTTGGGAACACCGCGTTAAACCCATCCCTTGTGTGACAGCAATTCCTGACTCTTGGAATGCACTGAAACAAGCACTCTGAGGGCCAGTCCCTTCCCCTAGAAAGGACAGACACATCACGGAGGATTCACCTTGAAAATATCTACAAATGCACCTTTCCCTCCACAGAATTTCATTTCACTTCAAGGAAACTTTGTTCTCAAGCCCAGGCAGAAACTCCTGACAGTCTATGGCCACAATAAATGGAGTTTTACACTATTAGCCAAGGTCAGAAGCTGGGTTTAAACTTTTCATCCATGTCAGGAGGTTGAGAAGCACCTAAGCAAATGTCATGGGGATGCAGGAAGCTTTCCATGAGCCTCCTCCAGCTTAGACATCTGACACCAGTGAAGTTTTACTGACTCATGCCAGCTGAGGCTTTAGTCTTTACTCTTACAACTCTTCTCATCCAAACAGCCTGATTTCCCTCCTGCTATTCCCTAGGGATCCAAAACAAGAGCCCAAACCAAATCGAAGTAGGGCTTCAATTCTAATACCTTGTCCATCATATTTCCTAAGCTGCTACCAGCAACAGCTCCATGTGAAATGGAGGAGGGGACCCAACTGCAGGGTGAAGTTCATCAACAAGTGCTCAGCAGCCAGTGGGAAGAGGCAGACTAAGCCCAACTAAGGCTTCTGCCCAATTTGCCCTCTGTGACAAGACACAGAAGGTCTTAAAGGCAACCAGATCTCCTTACAACAAAGCCCTTTATTGGTCTAGAGGGATAAAGTCAGTTTTGCAGGTGAAAGAAAGGAAAACACAGGCCCAGAAACCTATGGGCATTGCAAAAGCTTTTTTCCCCTTATGTTGTCAACATAAATCAAAACCTGGTGAAAACTTTGCAGCAGCCTCCTTTGTGCTAGTTGCCCAGACAAGAAATGTGTTGCAGACACAGACAACATCTGATGTTGAAATATGTCCCTTCAGAGGGATGCTGGACAGAAGGTGCTGCTCTGCCTGAGCTGGTTCTTGGGCTACAGCAGCAGTGGGAAGATCTCAGGCACCCCGAGTGTCCTGTAAGCACTGCAGGCAGCTGCTGGAGCCACCTTGAACTTGGGTTTCCCAGCACCTTACTGCCTGGCAAGACTGAGCAGCTGTATTTAGGAAACCTCACACTTATTTGCAGCAGTGCAGAGTGTCATTCTGTGGCAACTCAGTATTGTTTGAGCAGTAATTTCCCCTGCTCCCTCAAAACAGCTCCCAGCTCTGTGAGCAGTGGGTTTCTATCTAAGCACCAGTACTTGAGCTAAGTCTTCTAGTTCTTTCTTACCTAAAGTGAGTTCTGCCAACTCAGCTTTGCTCTTTAATAGGAATAGCATAGGAAGCACTTCTCAGCACCTAAGCATGCAAGGAGGAGCTGACTGAAAAGGAAACAAAAGCAAAGGAAAAACACATGGAAGGAATACACTGCTACCCCCCAGATACTCTGAGGCCAGATTTTAATGGAAATCTCTGCCCCCCTTCAAGGGATCACACTATGTTGCTGCCAGCCTGAGGAGGGATTTGCAAGCCCAAACTCTGCATGACAGGATATAATTTGGAAGGTACATGCTGTTAGATGGATGGCCTGCCTGTGGGCTTTCCCTGTGCTCCAATGAAGCCCAGACCCCAGCAGCACCACAGCAAAGCCTGTACGGGGCCAGCATCCCTGCCCCAGTCTCCTGCACAAGTAAGGGCAGAGCTCTGCAGGGTGAGGGGAGAAGGGAGGTCCAGGCTCCCCAGGCCTACAGTGGAAAAGCCTTCCTCTAGCACACAGGCAGTTGTCACTCAGACAGAGGGTGCTGTTCCTCCCTGCTGGGGCTGTGGGAGAGGCCAGAAAGCAACCCAGCTCATGGCACTACAGCTCAAGTAGAATCCTATAATCACAGAATGCTTAAGGTTGGAAGGGACCTTAAAGATCAGTAGGTTCCAACCTTCCTGCCATGGGCAGGGACACCTCCCACCAGACCAGGCTGCACAAGCTTCATCCAACCTGGCCTTGAACACCTCCAGGGAGGGGGCAGCCACAGCTTCCCTGGGCAACCTGTTCCAGTGCCTTCCTACCCTCATGCTGAAGCATTTCTTCCTGATATCTGACTTACATCTACCCTCTTTCAGTTTAAAACCATTCCCCCTTGTCCTATCACTGCCCTTCTCTGGTGGAAAAGTCCCTCCCCAGCTTTCCTGGAGCCCCTTCAGGCACTGGAAGGTGCTCTAAGGTCTCCCTGGAGCCTTCTCTTCTCCAGGCTGAACAGCCCCAGCTCTCTCAGCCTGCCTTGGTAGCACAGGTGCTCCAGCCCTTGGATCATATTCACAGACCTCCTCTGGACCCTTTCCAACACATCCCAGTCTTTCCTGTGCTGAAGGCTCCAGAGCAGGACACAGCACTCCAGGTGGGATCTCACCAGAGCAGAGGGGCAGAACCCCCTCCCTGGCCCTGCTGCCCACGCTGCTTTTGATGTAGCCCAGGATGCAGCTGCCTCTCTGGGCTGTGAGATCACACTGGCAGCTCATGTCGAGCTTCTCATCAACTGCCACCTCCAGGTCCTTTTCTTCAGGGCTGCTCTCCAGTTATTCTCCCCCCAGCCTGGGTTTGTACCCGCTGAATCTTCAGGCACAGCCTGTGCACCCTCCCACTCCTGCAATAACCCACAGCTGCATGGATTCCCTCTTCCTGGCACTAAAAAGGAACTTTAAGAAAACTCAGAAGGTCTGTGGAGACTGACATCACCAGCATGAACATGTTCCTGTTACAAGGGGCATTTCCAGGCATCAATAAGCTGGAATGACTCCACTAAGGTCTGGTGTGTTTACCTTTATAGAGGATGCACTGACGTTTTTATGGACTGCCAAATCTATCCCACGGGTGAAAAAGGATGCAGTAACGAGGACTATTTAGTTATATAGTCATCATTAACCATCATTTAAATGAGATATTAAAGTGGTGCTCCTGTGCCAGTGCACAGTTAAGAATGTATCAGTGTTTCCATTGTAAAACTTTTGTTTCCACAGGTTCACAGTCCAGCTACACAAGTTCACTCAGAGGTGGAAATGGGAACAAGTTGCAGAAGAGAAAACACAGATTTGGAATCCAGATTTCTTCTTTTCTCCCACCTTTACTCCTGCTCAATTGCTGCTTCCCCCTTACCAATTTCAGCATTTTGTAAAAAAAATTAAAAATAAATAAAAATAGGATACAGTTCCCTCTTTTTAAAGGCTTCAAGTCCAAATGGTTTTATTAATTATTATTTTCACAAAGCAGGTAAGGCCAGAGCAGCTAGTAACTTGATTAAAAAAACAAGGCCACCACCCTGATTAAAGCTGTCAGCTAATTAAATAAAGAACTCTGGGACGCAGCGATGGTGCACGCTCAGGATCTAACTTACATGTGGATTTTATGACACAAAACCCACAAATATGCACATTGCACATCATAAACGTGCTGGACAGTGAGCAAATGATCTCTCTGCTGTGTATTTATAAGCAGAAAGACCACAGCAGGTCTGAAAACTGAGCACAGTGTCAAACTCAGAGCTCACCTCAGTTAAGCAAGCAGGGAGGTTGCCTCAATGAAGCCCCCAAATCTGGGAACACCAAAAGCTGGTTCTAATTCTCATAACCATGCTTAGCTCCACTTCAGCAGGTCAGCTGCATGAAAACCAAGCTGTGCAGAGCCTGTCCTCTCCAGGCCAGAACTCTTCAGATGTGAAGTGACCTGCTCTAGAAGCTGTGACAGACTGGGGATGGCAAGCACAGGTCATCCACGTGTGTGGCAGCACAGTGAGACTGGTGGGAACTAAAGCCAGGAAACTCACATTCTGCTCCTCAGTGGCCAAACCTACAGATCCTGCCCATTTAACTCTGAGAAGCTTTGAAGATATGGGCCCAGCCTGTCCAGATCATAATGGTGTTCAAGTTCCTTCTGCCTAAAAACTACCAGGATGCTGCTGCTTCTTGCATTTTAT